AGTTAAAAGAGCCATCAGGAAGCTGGTTCCACAACCATCAAATCTCACAGAACTGGACAGTGCTATTCATCAGGCATGGTGTCAAATACCTCGCATTGTTGTAACGTACCCCGCGAATCACAGAAGGACGCCTCAAGAAGTCGAATTAAAGAGTCACATTTATTGCAATCCGGGACTATGAGGGGTCATCCCAAATCTCATAGTGATAAGATGGTGGCAAAACCAGACTTATATAGGCAAAGATCACAAAGGTATTAATTACATCTCAAGGTTTGGAATGAGGAAACTGGTTTGCAAAAAAACAGTTTACAGAAGCAGAATTAAGCATGTTAATTATAGTTTTGGGTCTCGGGGTCACTGAATTGACAGAAACACCTTATCTAGAGCTCTCTGGTCTTGAGACCACTGAGTTGCCAGGAACACATTATCTAGAGCCATAGAGGTAATTTAGAGTAAGTGCGCTGTCCTGGTCTTGGGACCACTGAGTCAACTGGAACACATTATCTGTGGCCACTAAAACAATTTAGGATAATTGTGCTGTCCTGTTTCCCAGGTACAGAAGAATGTGCTCTCTAAAATCAGTAAGGAAACAATCAATGGGATAGTCATTCAATTGAATGGGATTATGTATACAATTCAGAAAATCAAAGTAACTTTTCTATTGTTAAGCCAAACAGCAGGGTTAGAGTTAAACTACAGTTTCTACCTGAAGTATGGTTGCTACCATACTTCAGCATCACCTTTCAACATCTCGTGGAGTCAATGCCAAGAAGAATCACTGCAGTATTGAAGGCAAAAGGTGGCCCAATGAAGTACTGATGGGATGGTCATAATAATCTGGCCGCTCAGTGAATAAATATAAATCCCATGTTTAGAGGCTGTTAAATAGTGTTGTTTACCCATATCTTCAGAAAAAATCACTTCTACTGTCGTGGTATACAACCTGATTCCCTATTTATAATGGTTTGGCCCTCTAGCAACTTCACGGAGAAATTATAGCTAATTTGCCTACAAACGTCAGGTGGTCATAATATACTGGCCACTCAGTGTATATCACATCTCTTTATCCATTCATTAATCAGTGGACAGTTAGGTTGTTTCCATATCTTGGCTATTATAAGTAATGCTGCAATGAACATAGCAGTGCATATATCTTTTAAAATCAATAATTTTATTTTTTTATTTTAATACCCAGACGTGGAGTAGCTGGATCACATGGCAGTTCTATTCTTAAATGTTTGAGGACTCTCCACACTGTTTCTACAGTGGCTGCACCAATTTACATTCCTTCCAACAGTGTATCAGAATTCCCTTTTCTACACATCCTTTCTAACAACTTGTTTCTTATATATTTGATAATGAAATGTGCCAACAGGTGTGAGGTGATATCTCATCATGTTTTAATTCACAATCCTCTAATAAGTAGTGATACTGAACATCTTTTCCTGTGCCTGTTGGTCATATATATATCTTCTTTGTAAAATATTTATTCATATCCTCTGCCCTTTTTACAATGGGATATTTGCTTTTTGTTGTAGAGTTGTATGAGTTCTTCATATATTTTGAATACTAACTCCTTAAGAGACACACGGTTTGCAAATATCTTTTCCCATTCAGTAGGTTGCCTTTTTGTTTTGATGCTGATTTCCTTTGTTATGCAGAAGCTTTTAGTTTGATGTAGTCCCATTTCTTAATTGTTGCTTTTTGTTTCCCTTGCCTTTGAATTCAGACTAAAATATTGCTAAGACCTATGTCAGGGACCTCCTGCCTATGTTTTCTTCTATGAATTTTATGGTTTCAGGCGTTGCATTCAAGTCTTTAATCCATTTTGAGTTAATTTTGAGTGTGGTGTAAGATAGTGGTCTAGTTTCATTCTTTTCCATGTGGCTATCCAATTTTCCAACACCATTTATTGAAGAGATTGTCTTTTCTCCATGGTATGTTCTTGATTCCTTTGCCTTACATTAATTGTCCATATATGTGTGGACGGTTAGACTTATTTCTGGGCTCTCAATTATTTTCTACTGATCTGTGTATCTGTTTTTATGCCAACACCATGTTTTTTATTTGTTTGTTTTTAAATAGTGTTATTGATTTCAGAGAGGAAGAGAGAGGGAGAGAGATAGAAACATCGATGATGAGAGAGAATCACTGATCTGGTGCCTCCTGCATGCCCCACACTGTGGTTCAAGCCCACAGCCGGGCATATGCCCTGACCGGGAATCAAACCATAACCTCTTGTTCATAGGTAGATGCTCAACCACTGAGCCATGACAGCTGGGCCTTGTTGTTTTGATTACTATAGATTTGTAATATAGTTTGAAATCAGGGAGCACAATGCTTCCAATTTTGTTCTTCTTTCTTCACAAAGGCTCACTCTTTTCTTCCTCTGCTATGCACACAAGGAAGTGGCCACATGTCGGTGTGTGGCATGTGGGTAAGGCACCCTGAACATTAGGGATGCCCATAGGCCAGTTGGGGGATCTATAGGGGCAGCATCTCCATCAGCTCCTGGGAGGGTATCTTGTCAGAGTCCGTGAGATGGTCAGTAAGATCTGCATCCCTTTAATACCTTCCAAGAGCCCTATCTGGCACTCTCACAGCTGCTCCTCATCCCCCCACCCACCCAGTTTCTCAGTCCTGAAGCTCACCTTAGTAATCTGGATGTGGTGAGAAAGAAGTGGGTCTCTGGATGCATTCCATGCAGCTGGGGAAGCTGGGCACTCACTCACATGCTTTTACTTTTCCTTGTGGGACAAGTCACAGGCCAATGAGGTCTCTTTTGGTCCTGAGCTATGTCTCCTTGTGGGGCGGGTGATGTAGGTAAAGTGAAATGCTCTTCTTACTCCCTTTAGTGCATTCAATATCCTCAAATTATTATTATTATTTTTACTGTAGTGGCGTGCTGGGGCTTTGCTGGACTCCTGGATTTCCACAAATGCTCTCTGGTCCATGGGTGACCATGTAAATCAGCATTCATTGGCAAAAGACAGTAGAAACTCTTATCCCACTATGATAATGTTGCCACTCCTGCATTTCCTTGACTGTTGCTAATTTATAGAATAAAATTGATATTTGAATATTAACCTTAAATATAGCACCTTGGTAAACACTCTTATTCATTGTAATAATTATGTGGAGATTATTTGGGTTTTCTATAGAGAAGTCATTTGAGAATAATATTCACTTTTTCTTCATTTACAATACTTATAGCTTGTATTTCTGTTTAATTTTTATTTCTCATTCTTCTTGTTAGGCCTCCCAATACAGTATTAAATGGAAATGCTGATCCTTGTTTTGTTTCACATTTTAAAATACTTATTTTTTTATATTTTAACATTAAGTATAATGTATACTGGAGACTTTTTATGGATTCCTTTTATCAATTCAAGAATGAGTACTACTATTCCTAATTAGCTAAATCATTTTGCTTTATTTTTTACCATGAATGGATTTTTTTCACACATATTGAAATGTTTTACATCAAAATCATTTCACATCTATTGAAATGATCATTTGACTTTTCCTCATTAAATATGGTAAGTTGGGTGAAAAATTATTGCCAGTCATTACTGATTTAGAAAAATGTGTACCTATTATTTAGCATTTGGGAGGGGGAGGCAAAGCACACCAAATGGATAAGACCCAGAAATATCACCCAGGAAAAAAGTCCAGAAGAGGATTGTCACAGAAGAACGAGAGACTGTAACACCATTCAGGAGCACTGGGAAACCCTGAGGCTGAAGGAAGACATTAGTTACCTGAGTCATGGGGCTTCAGAAAAAAACAAGAGATGGAGGACCAGAGAGTAGGTGTGATGGTAGCAAAAGAAAAACTGATGGTATAGAGATGTCATTATTTAGGTATCCTTAGAAGAGACGTGTTTTTTCCCCTCTCAGAAACAGAGAGAGATAGACAGGAATATGTATAAGAGAGCATGCTTAGTCACAGAGGGGCCCCATTAGATGAAGAAAGAGAACAATCCTCAAAAGTTGATTAAAAGAAATCTGTTACAAATGTGGAAACTTGCTTCCTTATGTATAATTTTATTATCTAGTGAAATCAGTTATCCACAAGCATTGGCTTAGATTCAAAATAGCTGCACAACTTACTGAATGCAGCTAAATGTGGAGCTAAATGAATCTGTATTTGACCTGGTGTGGCAATCCCCAGCCAGACAGGGGACGCTCCACTCCTCTGTCCTTTGTGGGCAGTACAGACCTCCACTTGAGCAGAGATGGCTTTAGTTTCCCTCTCTTGTGAGAGCCGTGAGAGAGGTGATTCTTCCTTTCTGCCTTCGCCTTTCCACTCCCCATATTCTCTCAAACATCATGTCTGTTCAGATTATTAATTTTTAAAAAGATGGCCTTGATCTTTCTTCTTGTTGTTGTTAAGTAGAGAAAGGGGAAGTACCACAAATAGAAAAGGGCAGCATTTGGAATAGTTTAAAAGTTCTGCAAGCGCCAATGAGGACAATTACAGAGGAGAACATTCCATCCACCTCTTGCTTGTAGCTTTCATTCCAGGTTTCCATGCAGATCAGATAGAGAAGCAGCCCCAGGAGCTCAGCAGGGCCCATGCACATGTAACCAATTGCTTTTTTCGCCTGTAGTAAAGTTCACATTTTGATTGCTCCTCCAGATAATGTAGATCCAGACATATTTTATGCAGTCATCCGGATCTTTCTCTCTGGGTAAGTATAGTTCAGCTGTTTTCCTGCAGGAGGTCTCTGTAGCATTTTCCAAATTTATGGGGGTGGAAACTGACATAAGCTTCCTAGAGTAAGAAACACACCAAATAACCATTGTTAGTTAGCAAGGTAGTCACCTAGATCCACTCTTGGATAAAAGAAGAGGGGTACCATCTGCATGGCAAATGACATTAAAGGTTGAATATTTAAGTTTAGAGTAATTGTCCTTAGGCTCCCATATTAGATTCATTTGTATTCACTTTCTTAGAACTCCACCTTGATGACAGAAAGGAAAAAAAAGCCCAATATGCCACGCACAAAGCTCAATCATTTATATTTATTCCCTCCCCTTGTTATTAAAACAGATGGAGATATAGACAGTAACTTGAAAGCTTTCTTATAACATTCCTAGGATGGCTACACCAAGCCATTTTCTCATATTTCTGTGTACTTTTTTTTGTCACATGACCTATAATCTCTCCAAAAATAGATCTCTACTCTTAGATGCAGTTCTTTTTTTTAAATACACTAGTCATACATTGACATGTTTTAATGAGATTATTTTCCTATTCACTTTCAGAAGTTGAGTTTGTTTGGGTGTGTGTGTTTTTAATGGTGGAAAGTGAAAGGTGGCAGTAGTGATGGATGTGGTAAAAAATGTGAAGTCAATATCATCTAGTGTGCCATATGTTTAACTAGGAGATGCCTGAAGGGCTTTTGATAGAATCTGAAGCTGTACTTGGATATAACAAGAAACATGCCAAATACCCAAATCAATAAATTTATTGATTTAGTGGTATAATGCATTGGTGCAAGAACAGAGTGACAACATGTACTAAGTATTTTCTATAGATTGGGTAGGTCTGGAATGTGAGAAAGTGACCGCCCTCTCTAAGGGAGGGCTGTCTGGGTGGGGATTTCTCATTTATTCTCACTGTAGAGAATAAAAGCAGAATGATTTCCACAGAATAACTTGAGAGTAATAAACACCTGGTTTATGTGGGAAAAAGGGAGAAATAGGGAGTGACAGACACGGAATTGGGAGTATTTCTCAGAATTAGACTTTCACTCCTGAAATGCTCTCCAAAGAGAATATCATATAGAATTCTTCTCACTCTCTGTATGTTTTTCATGTAGTCAGGGTCAAGAAAAGATCTGATTGTAGAAAAAAGACTCTAGCAACAAATATTAAGCAAAACATGTAGCTATGCTTTGGTAGGATTAGACAAAAGAAAAAAGGGTAATTTAAAAATGTTTTTAAATAGACTGGAATTTAGGAAGCACCTATTTCTGAAAAATCTATTTGTGCTTTACTTGGTTCTCTAAGTTTGTATCAATTTTCCTTTTAAATAACAAATTACCACAAATTTAGCAACTTGAAAGTACACACATTAATTATCTCACATTTTTATAAGCCAGGAGTCAGGTTGAGCTCAACTTGGTTCTCTGCTTAGGGTCTCAAAAGGCCAAGTCAGGGTATCTGCTGGGCTGAGTTCTTATCTTGAGAACCTGGGGAAGAATTCACTCACGTTTTACGTAGAATCTAATTCTTTGTGGTTTTGAAACTGAGATCTTTGTTCCCTTGCTGACTGTCAGAGAGGGTCTGCTCTCAGCTTCCAGAGGCCTCCTGCATTCTTTGTCACATGGTCTCCTCTGTCTCAGCAATGACACTTCCTGTCCTTCTAGTACTTCAAATCTCTCTGACTTCTCCTTTTTGTCACTAGCCAGAGAAAATTCTCTGCTTTTAAGAAATTATTGATTGGATTCAGCTCACCTAGATAATCTAGAATGACTCCCTATATCAGTGATGGCGAACCTTTTGAGCTCGGCGTGTCAGCATTTTGAAAAACCCTAACTTAACTCTGGTGCTGTGTCACATATAGAAATTTTTTGATATTTGCAACCACAGTAAAACAAAGACTTATATTTTTGATATTTATTTTATATATTTAAATGCCATTTAACAAAGAAAAATCAACCAAAAAAATGAGTTCACGTGTCACCTCTGACACGTGTGTCATAGGTTAGCCATCACTGCCCTATATTAAAATCAACTGATTAGTAACCTTAATTGCATCTGCAAAGTCCCTTTGTAATATAATATATCATATCTATAGGCTTGAAATCTCATAATATTAACAGTTCTGGGAATTAGAATGGGAATCTTGGGGCAATATTTTTTTGAATTCTACCTATCATGATTCAATAGACACCACAAGGTGACTTTGTTTTCATTAAAATAATTTCTGGGTCAATGATGCATTTTATCAGTGTCTCCCCTCTGTTTCTGATCCTCAAAAAATTTTTCCCATATAGCTAAACTAAGTGACCAGTCCCAAATCCTAAGTACATTGATAAGTGCAGATGACCAAGAACATCTGGATTGTTGATAATTCCCAATAGGGTTGTCCTGAAAAATCTAATTCTGCTCCTGTGTTCTTGATTTGTCCCATGTTTGATTTATTACTTTTGTTGGCTTTTTAAAGCATTTTTATTTAGGAGAGTTGAAAGATTTCATCTGCAGATGAAACATTTTATCCTTATTTCCCACTCATATTAAATTTCTCAGGAGGTTAATAGCCCCCGTGGAAAACTAATGTCATCTCATTTTCTTTTCCTTTTAAATGTCTGCTTCTATTGGGTTTCCTAGAAATATGGTACAAGAAGACTAAAAATAATCTCGCCTACAGAGATTTGAAGGAAAAAAAATAATTCCTTTCCTTCACAAACAGCAGTTTGGGCCTGAGAATGCATGGGAGCAATCCTTGGGTTCTTCACAAGAACTCAATTTCCCTTCCTCAGACTACTGTCACCATAGACAGAATATGTGGGTTTTAAAAGTAGATGCCTTTCTCTTACTTTTTTGACTTTCACACTGGTATTTTCTCTTCTGGTATTTATGTGGCTCCAACGTATCTTCTTCAGGTTAGGGCACAAAAAGGGGATTGGTGTCTTCACCATTTGATTGAGCATTTGATGGCTCTTTTAGGCTGTCCAGGTATTTTTCAGAAATATACTTGGGTCCACATATTTTAGATATAACACATAATTATAAAATGCTATATGTTTTATTCACTGATTCATCTTCCAGGCACAGTTCTAGGTGTTAGCAATGAAGCAATAAAACAAAGCAGCAACTTCATTTTTGTGGAGCTTACATACATTTTAATGATGGGAGGCAGATGGAGAAATAAATATAATAACATCAAGTATCATACAAGATACATTACAACAATAAGCAAAATGAGAAAATGTGAAGTAAGATACTAATCATAGATTGTGGTGGCCAAAGTTTTTTATTTATTTATTGCGATCTAGGAACGCCACACCTCTAAGTGATATTTAAGCAGATGCCCAAAAGAAGTAAGGAGTCAGCCACCTAGATACTCGTTGCAAGCAAAAGGAAAAGAAATGACAATGACCCTGAAGTGAGAGCATGTTTGTCATGGAGGAGTAGCAGCAAGGAAGCCAGCAGTGCTTGAATGGAGTAAATATTGGGGAGAATGAGAAAGATGCATGTGCTGGTGGAAGACCAGGTCCTGCAGGGGCCTGTAGGCTTCTTTCCTGAGTGAGATGGGCAACACTGGCAAGTCTGGGAGGAATGACATGATCTGTCTTAAGTTTCGAATCATCACTCTATCTTCTAAGTGGAAAATGGATGATTTCAACTCAAGAATGGGAGGCAGGAAAGTATGTAAGGAGCTTTTACTACAGTTCAGGGTGGTAGCTTTAACCAGGGTGGTAACAGGAGAGGCATTGAGAATGGCCAGGTCTGGATGCAGATTGAAGGTAAAGTTGACAGGATCTGCTATTGGAGTGCACGTGCAATGGAAGAGAAAGGGATCAATCAAAGAAGATTCCATGGTTTTGTCCAACTCTGCTGAAAAGATGTAACTGCCAGTTTTTCTGTTGGGGAAGACGGTAGGCAGGACACGTTTGGCAAAAGGGTGGGGAATCAGGAGGTCAGTTTAGGACATGTTCATTCCTGTGGAGATGTCTAGCAGGCATTCAGGTAGTATATGAGTCTGGAATAGGGGGGAGAGGTTCAGGTGCAGGTGCAAATTTGTAGACAGTGAGAATAGGTTTTTAAATCTATGAGGCTAGAAAAGATCCCTTGTGAAGTGAGAGTAGTGAGAAGCCCAAGGACTGAGCCCTGAGAGAGCCTGACACTTAGGAGTTGTCATGATGGGAAGGAACTAGTGAAGGAGACCAAAACGCCTAGGCAAGGTCATCGACGGGAATACGAAGGCAACCTGAACAGGCTGGTCCTTGTATTTGGTCCACTAACTACAGAGTGTCAGTCATCTTCCCTATTTCTTCCACAGAGAATATGTTGTTTAGAAATTTTATCTGACCAGTGTTCTGAACTCTGACGAGTCGCGAAACCTCTCTGAAACCCATTCCTTTCTTCCAGCAGCTTTAGGAAGTAGGTACAAATTAGGAGCAGGGACACTCAGAGGGTTGGAACAAGTTACAGAATAATGAAAGGGAGAACAGGGATCCCACCGCATTCGGAATAACATTCTAAAATGGCTTAAAATGTATTGAATGCTTCATAATGTATTCCAGGCATTGAGCAGGTATTATTTTAATGAGTTCTCACAAAAACCCAATAAGGTGGATACTTGTGGTCTGTGGAGGAGGAAGTGGGGCTCAGAGAGGATTGAACTAAGCCAAGGCTCACAGTTAATAAACATCACAGCTGAGATTAAATTCTATATCTGCCTAAAACAGAGCCCTCTTTCCTAACAGGCTCAGCATGTTGCAATCATACACTCAGAAGCCTTCCTTTGCTTTTCCCACTTGTCTCCCCGACTGCTTCCTGTGCTCCATTCCTTTCAAGAGTGAGAGTGCCCCACCTGCAAAGGCCACTCTGATTGATATTCCTCCAGTGAAAACCACAGGACAGCCAACCAAAAACAATCCCCAAAGAAAACAATCCAGCCTCTTGTAGCATTTCCTGCCTCAGAGAAATATGCAAAAAAGGTCATGAACAGCGAGCTGCGTGGCCTGTCTTCGACTTTCGTGTGTATGCAATGTGTTTGCCTTCTCTTAAGCACAATGACTCTTAGAATTACGGGAAGAAGGCGAGACATCACGTAAGCCTGTTATTTAAACTGTTAACAACTGGGAGGGTAGTTTGTTCCCGGTAATAAGAGAAAAAGATTCTGTTTCTTAGAAAAAGGAGAAATCCACATGTGCAGGTTCTGAGAACATGAAAATAGAAAATTACAAGTTTGGAATTTAAGTTCTGGTTCTCCTGTTCCCCAGCAATGTGGCCCTGGAGAATGAACTTCTTAGAGTCTTTATTTCTTTATCTGCAAAATGGGCTTAAAAATACCTGCCTTGGCATGGATGGAACTGGAGAGCATTATGCTAAGTGAAATAAGCCAGTCAATAAGGAAAAATACCACATGATCTCACTCATTCATGGATAATAAAGACCATTATAAACTTAAAAAAAATACCTGCCTTGATCTACTCCTAAGAGGTCAAATGAAAAGATGAATGTGAAGGTGCTTTATAAACTGTAAAGCATTGTGAGTACAAATAGATATGTTCTTGGTGCTATTGTTTTTGTCTCATTATGGAGCCACCCACTTACACTCTGTGACTATTTAAGACTTTGTAAAAAAGCAGACAGAAATGAGTATAATAGTTGGAGGTAGAAAGAGGAGGGTCCAGAGACAAAAAGATAAATGGAATTAGGGAGACTGAAGGGAAGACAGGAGAGAAGAAAAGAGAGGAGAGGGGAGAAAAACCCACTTAATCTGAGCATGACTGAGAGCCTCTCTTGCAGTCCTTCCACATGTCCTTAAACTTCGCTTCTGGCACTCTGCAGGCTTATTATGTTCTTTTAGTCATACGCTTAGTATACATACATGTCGTCAACAGAGCATTTGATAAAGGCATTTCCATAAAGTCAGGTAGCAGTTAGAACTGATAGTTTAATGTGACAACTGTTATAACTGTTTCAGGGAAGGGCAAAGATATGTGTGATGTGTGTGCATGTATTTATATGTGTGAGTGTGTGTGTGTGTGTGTGTGTGTTTTCAAATCTTTACTAGTGGAATTATCAAGTCATCAAAGCTATTTTATCAGATGAAGTGAAGATTGTTCTGGAGCCCCTCGTTTGTTCTTGTTGATAAGCACTGATGTCATCTTTATGACTGGATGCGAGATTCTTCTCTATTCTTTATTTAAAAAATAATTTTATTGATTTCAGAGAGGAAGGGAAAGGGAGAGAGAGATAGAAACATCAATGATGAGAGAGAATCATTGATTGGCTGCCTTCTGCACACCCACACTAGACATCAAGCATGCAACCTGGGCATGTGCTCTGACTGGGAATCCAACTGTGATCTGATTCATAGGCCGATGCTCAACCACTGAGCCACACCAGTCGGGAATTCTCTATTCTTCTTTGAAAAACTCCTTTAAATGAGGGAGGAAAAGGGCTGCATTCTATGTCCTGTTATGAAATTGGGGTCAAGAGAATGCTTAAGTACATGTCCTACAAAGATATCCAGTCTTTTGCCCTAAAATTGCCATTCAAATCATATTTGCTTTATTGCTCACTCTCTGGTTCTATATCAGAAAAATACATTCTTAACTCCAAGCACCTACTTCTTTCTGACTTTTACTCTTGCTTAGATGGAAAGATAACCCAGCAATGCCTGTGGGATTGATATATGAAGGAGTCTCCACAGAGCCCCTGAAATACTCCGGAGGGAGTGCAGCTCAGAGCACAGTGCTTCATGCCTTTGATGAGTTCTTGGGCATTCGCCATAGCAAGGAAAGTGGTAAGCTAGACATTTTTCTTTTTTTTTTCTTAACAGGGAGAAGAACAGAGGTGTTTTTACAAATTGATAAAACCAAGTGTAACTTAAAATGTCACGAAGTCTATACTTTTCCAAATTAACTGGGAAACTCTGTGCCTGCCACATGTTATTGTGTCAAGTCAATTAATATCAGGTCTCAGCAGGAAATTGAGTTTCATTTCCAATTCTTAAAACATTGCTATATTTCCAGCTGTTCACTGCAGTTTTGTTTGGATCTTTAGGCAATGGCTTCCTTACTCTAAAATGAAGGAGAGTTCTGGAGTTTGGAGGGTCTGGCATTTTGTTGCTAAGTCTGGGTGTTGCCCATGATGGCTCTAAGCTGCTCCATGAAAGCCCTTCCCCTTGAAAACGGTGCAACCTCAAGCCAATTCTATTTAGACCAGAAGAGGGAAGAGCCAACCATTTTAGAAATTTGAAATTGACCATTTCCTTACCTGTCAGTCTTGAGCCAAATGTTTAATAGCTGCCAAAACCACTTCGTAGTACAGAGTTTTCAAGTTGAATTAGAAAAACAAAGACTAGAATTTGGTGTCAGAGGATCCAGTCTCATCTGCAGAAGTCAGTTCTCTAGAACTATAACTTTGCATGGATTTTGACTTGGTGATGATAGTAGGTGTCGTACCATGTATAATATTAAACACAGAATGGGTTTCCTATAAATTACCTATCTATCTACATTTCTTATACATATCAAATGATTAGATTTTAAACAATTTGACTTCAAGAGGTTGTTATTAAAACAGTTGCTCATTCTTTATCTTTTTGCTCTTATAAACCCTATTACTTTCTTTTTCCTTAGCACCCCCTCCAAAACAAAACATTTAAGAAATAAAATTCAGCAGATTATCTAGCTACTTAGTTTAAGAGTTTATGCTCACAGGCCCATATTTGGTATATGATAAAAATTTATACACTGGCTGATAGAAGTGGTTCCAACTCAGTTATCTGAGCTGTGCTTACTTCATTTCCCCTTCCCCATCACCTATCAATAGTCAGGGGTGTGCATCTGTGTGTTTGAAGTCTACTACCAAAGAAGCCCGCAAAGTAGATGGGACAGTTAGGATGATTAACAACACTTTTTGCTGCGTTGATGTCTGGAAAAGCAGCCCGGCTTGCTTACCTTTCCATGTGGAGCTTTGACATTGGTCTGGATTATTTCTTTCAGGTGACTTTCTGCTCAACATGAGGGACTACATGCCACCTTCTCATAAAGCCTTCATAGAAGCCATCCAGTCAGCTCCTTCACTGAGGGACCATGTCCTATCCTCCGGGAATGGCCCACTCCTGGCAGCCTACAACCAGTGTGTGCAGGCCCTGGCAGAGCTGCGCAGCTATCACATAACCATGGTGACCAAATACCTTGTCACATCTGCAGCCAAAGCAAAAGGCAGGAAGCTAAGCCATCTCCCAGGACCACCTCAGGCCTTAGAAGACAGGGGCACAGGAGGAACTTCAGTTCTGATCTTTCTAAAGAGTGTCAGGAATAAGACCTTGGAGGCAATCCTCCCCCAAAGTGGTTAAGAAAGGCCTCTCCTGGTGATGCCAAACCAGCAAATGCCCTACTGGAGGGCACATGGGCCTGGAGAATGAAGGTCAGGGTCTGTCTTGAATAACCCAAAATCAACCTGAGCCCTGTTCATGTTCCTGTTCTATAGAACTTCATCTTCTTTGTTGAAACCTGTTGGCCTTCACAGAGGAGAATTTTCATGCCCATAAATTTTCTTTTTTCCACGTGATCACTGGTTGATAGCAAATAGCTTTGGATGCTCCCTCATTCAGAAACCCATAAAGGAGCAACGGTATCCCTATTCTATTTGCAAAGTGATGGAAAACCAATCAAAATTTCAGAAACTAAATAAAATTGCCTGTGGACAGATCACACAGTAGATTTCTTGGAAAAACAAATTAAATATTCATGCATTCCTTCATTGACTTAACAATGTAGTAAGTTCCACTACAGCCCTCACCTCCCTGCATGTGTTGATTTGGTGGAGATGTAGAGGAGAGAGGAGGCTGACAGCGAGACTTGGAAGTCACCAGTATGAAAATGAATAATGACATGGGAACGGATGAGACTCTTCCACATGGTTCATCAACGTGCAAATTCTATTTTAGTTTTCTTCTTTATTTTTAGGAGAATGATTATTTCTCCTTACACTGAAAGTTTAAAACAATTTTAAAATAACTAACCCTTTCAAAGTAAATGAGTAAAGTGGGAATAAAGAGGAAATTCACATGTTTACAAGGTCTCATTCTACCTGACAATACAAAGCTAGAAAATGTTCATCTTATCTATTTAGGATAAACTCCACTAATTTAGACTTGCTCCCCATTATGTACACACACATAGGATAGTATGTAAAGTACACAGCTCTGATCTGGCATTGGGGCATCAGTGAGAGGTACCTGACCAGGGGGTGGGGGTTCTGTCCAAATTAGTGTCTGCTAAGCAGTCCCCTTCTCCATGTAGGCACTGGTCAAATGTCACTCACAGCATGTCTTATACTAAGAGACCTTTCAGATTCTTGGCCCTCAAGGTCCGATCATGCTACTTAGAGAAAACATTTGACTACTTCCCATATCCCTAGGAGTATTGAGAGACTAGAAGGTTAGCTCAAAGTGTCTGCCCAGTACTCATTTTCTAGTGTCATGGTGGTCTGTGGGGAGGAACAGAGGACTTCTGGACTTTTGTTAACTCTCAGGGTCCTTGGTAAGAAACCATGAACCAGCATCTTCCACTTGGGGTACCAGGAGGGCTCCTAATGACCCATACCCTTCAAGGGCTTGGTCTGGCAAAAAGGAGGTAGAGCATGATAGGAGCCAGACCTTCTAGTCTGAATGGGCCAAGGGAAAACCCTGGGTCTTACAGCATCATTTCTGCCTACTGCTTAGGTCAGGATCTCAGCTCAAAGACCTAGGCTCTCATAACTCAAAAAGCCTTTCTCTCCATATGTTCTTCGTCTTGTGTTTGAAAAATCTGTTATGAAACTTAGAAAATGAGCATGGATATGCTTATTTCTCTTTGGTTTGATTTTCCAACTGCTCTACCTTGGTATCAATAAACCCAGGCTGCCTTCACTGCCTGGGCTGGGTGTATGCTATGGTCCAAGAAGGTAGACCAGCTAGACTAGGTGGGGGAATACGAGAGAAGCACATTGGTTAATGATTCAAGACATGGTCCCTTCTCTATATCATCCTCAGGTGAAAAGACCATGACCTTTAAAATAAGACCTGTGTTGGATTTCTGATGTCTCCATTTTTAACAACAATGTGGCTTTTGATCAATTTCAGAAAATCATGAATCCTCAGCTTCCTATTTATTATGAAATCAAGATGATCAGATTGGTCTCAGGGTGTATATAAGTAACAGAAGGGATAGTTCTTGGCAAGGAGAAAAAAGGCAATAAAAGTTTATTTGGTTGTGAGTTGCGGCCCAGGGCTTCAGGAGAGCACACTGTATTCCTCAAGCTTCTTGGACTCACAGAGTCTGCAGAGCAATAAAACAACCATTTAATATTTATCATTGGGGATTCTGGAAAGTAGAACATGACAAAAGTGTGGGCTTAAAGAGCTGAAAAACCTGGGTTTGTGTTCCAGCTTTGTCACATTTTACAATGACAAATTGATTCATCTTTCAGAGCCACGGTTTACGCTCTTGTTAAAGAAGGGACATCAAAATTACTGTGTGGAGCAATAGAATAACAAGTTTGGTGATATTAATGATACTTTTATGTTTTAAAAATCTCAGCATTAAGGATGAATTCTACTTTGTTTGAAGCCATCACTTTCATATTAAAAAATAATAAAACATCAGTAGAAGCACAGACACCTTGCTCTTCGTACAGTTGTTTGTATACAGAATTCAAACAATAAAATCAAAACCTCATTTTTCTCAACCTGTGAACAAAAAGTCTCCTTGGTAAATTATTTTTCTTTCTAAGCACACCAATAAATATTTATATCAAAACCACAAGCATAGCTATTTTCATGTAATCAGATCCAACGGAAGAAGAATTCATTTACATAAATCTTTGTAGATAAGAAACATGTGATTTGCTGTGCATATTCCAATCCAACCTGCCTTTTCTTCAGAGTTTGAGAAGTGATACCATGAAGAGCTAGTCTGCCAACTGTGTGTCACAGGCGTATTAATGAGATTGGTTACAGGACCTTAGCATCACAGCAGCTGGTCACAGGGTCACAGAACTCCCAAAGCATGAAGCAGGGGATGGTGTCCCCACCTCCACACACTGAACACCAGTCCCTGTGCTCAGGACAGGCCTTGTGGAGAACATAGGCATGAAGCAGGGCAAGAGCATGTCTACACTCATGGCAAGTTGCTTAGGGACATGCAGGGACAATCTATGTACTGACTGCTCACCTGAGGAACTGAGAGTTCTCAAGCTGGCTATTTCACTAAAATTATACACCTTGCCCTGCACTGCACAACAAAACCCCACCAGTTCACAGCGCCAACACCACTGAAAACTTGTCCCTGGTCAAGTAAACATCTTGTTCTATTACAAATATGATGATGGATGAATAGATAGATGCTTGATAGACGACAGATGTAGACTGATGACAGAGAGAGAGAGAGAGAGAGAGAGAGAGAGAGAGAGAGAGAGAGGAGAGGACCTTAAAATAAGCAAACAAAGCAAGAAACAACCTGGAATTTTCTTAAAATAATGTGAGCACATGTGGACTTAAGGCTTTAAATCTAGATCTGTACCAAATGGGGTCCTGATCTGTCCCTCAAAGGACAGGACTGCAAAGAATCATCTCAATTTGTATACTTTCAACAGATGCAAGCCCCATTCAAAGAGACCACAGAGCCTAATTCAGAGCAGATTTCCTATAAATGTTGAATCAATGGAAAACCAGATAGAATAAATGGGGTGGAAAAAGACATTTACAAAGTTTTGTCTTTCAAAATTTTCAGGTATGTATAGTTTGTTGTTATTACACAATGATGATACAAATGCAAACAAATGTATTTTATTTCCCAATGAAGTAACTTAAAACATGTTTTTATTGATTTTTTAGAAAGAGAGGAAAGGATAAAGGGAGAGAGAGAAGCATTGATAGGTTGCCTCCCACATGCACCCCTACATGGGATGGAGCCTGCATGTGGCCTGAACAGGAATCAACTGGTGACCTTTTGGTGCATGGGACGATGCTCAACCAACTGAGCTACACTGGCCAGGGTCCAATGAACTAACTTTTAATTCATGTGTCAAGGCTTGATTTCTTGGGCTAGGGAATGCCATTTTTGGTTTTATACTATAATGGTAGAAGTAAAGATACCAGTACAGAAGAAAACACATTTTTCTCAAAATTTCTAGTGACAAAAGGTATCCATATCAGTAACAAACAAACAAACAAATAAACAAAACACACACACACACAAAAACAAACCTTACTAAAGGTAGAAATTATTTTACTGGTATTATATGAGGATGCTATTGCAAATCTGAAGGAATGGCAAAAATATAAGCTTAGAAATCAGACAAATGCAGGTTTGAATTCTCACTCTGCTGTTTATTTACAACATAAGCCATTCATCTCGCTTAACATTTGAGTCATAATAACCACATGTGTAAATGAGGATAATAATGTCTACCTTGCAGTGCTTTTATGAAAAGTAAAGCTAATATAAATTTGTTGGCTACCAGACTACTCCCTGGATTTGGATAAGAAAACAACTGTAGACAAATGAATCAGTAAGGGGAGTGGGAAACTTGCTCTCTCCCACTCCTTAGGTTCCAAGGAGAATGGAGAGGAGATCCAACATACATGTAACCAAGAGCTCTACAGGAACCCTTTTCTTGAAGCACGTGTGGAATAATTTGTTTATGTATATGCGTGTAAGATGCAAATTATGACTGAAAACAAAGAAATTGCCAAACCAGCCCAGAATCAGACCCCAGGACAGGTTCATTCAGCTCTAGGATTTGTAATTTTTTTTATAATGATAAGAACCATGAAGGATGCTGTGTCAGGATTCTATTTTGCACTTACCTGGATATAATCAAAATCAGTTGTGTGTAACACACAGTAGTTTCACAATGATTGTAGAATAAATCAACACCCTGATTGAGTGTGACAGCAGGTGGTCTACAAATTCTGGTCTTCAGAAAATAGTTGCTTTCAGGATACACAGCCTTACTGCCAGGGACCATGTAGAGGTGGAGGGAAATTCATACTTTCTTCCCAGCTTAGAGAGGTTGTGTCTTCAATTATTGTAGAGGTCCGGTTCTGCATATAGGTGGATCATGTACCATTTAAATGTTCAATTTGAAGGTTCACCAAATGTATGCTGACCCATAGATACCTTGTCAATGCCTGATGATTATTTGAGCTTTCTTAATTAGTGACTTATATTAGTTTGGGTTCTCCATATAAACAGAACCAATAGGGTGTGTGTGTGTGTGTGTGTGTGTGTTTTGGGTGGAGGGAGAAAGAAGAGCTATTATTTTAAGGAATTGGAGACTGGAAATTCCAAAATCTGTAGGGTAGACCAG